TGTTGGGGTTTGGGATCATGGCAGTGACAGCGTGTGAGGCTGCAGCAGTGGGGTGGATTGACGGGGGGTCTCAAGAGGGAAGAGTGTTTGGTGAGGTTGTTAACTCCCTGGCTAGCTCTGTGTTAATATTGGGCAATTACACCTTCCTGGTCAGTCAGGTCTTCCACAAAAAGACAATTATTGGGAATGCCTTGGAATTGATGCTTTTCACTTCTGGGATTTGACAGAGCTGAGACAATTGTGAAAATGAACTTACTTAAAACAAAGGAAAAGCATGGTACCCCCTGCTCCATTTGTTGTACTGGCAATAAACACTTTTTGAAAGTGCAAGAGCTGCAAAGTATATGTCCTGTCGCATAAAACTGGTGTGGGACTAATTTCATAGTAATTGTAAAATGAGTAGTTGCACTTAGCTTTGGGAGTTTTACATACCTTACTCTTAATTAAGTAATGATTCCTCATGACCCCTGGAGTATGGTTATTCTTTTTGAATTTGGCCAAGCCTGCTGTTAAAAAAATGCGTCTTGGGACCCTGAATTCCCCAGCTCTGGTTTTAGTGGCTGTTAGCACRTTGTGGCAGCTGGTGTGCTTGTGTCTGATGGCAGACTGTGACAATGTGCAGAGATGAGTGGCACTGTCTGTATTATAGTCTTGCTATTTCACAGTCAGGCCTAGGGGAATATCCCTGCGTTAGTTGAGAAATGAGGCTCTCAAGTTTTCGCAGACATACATGGCATTAATTCCTCTCCCTTAATCCCTCTCTTAYAAAGTTAATTTTGCTCTTTAAATAGTTTCTGGTCTCTTGAACCATGTCAAAACATAAATAAGAACATATTTTCAACAGCAGAAGAGCATCYGAGTCCACTATGTCACTGAAAGGGAAAAGCATATGTGAAAATTAGAAATGGTGAAATAACATTAGAAGGTTTACAGTATTTCCTGAAATTCAGATATGTGAAGTTTTTTTGAGATCTCAGCAATGTTTGGGACAGTCTTAATTTGTACAAACTGTTTGCTAATCCCTAGTCTAGACAATGACATTTCCAGTGCCTGTTCATCTTCATTTCTGCTTTCATGTAGCACATTTTTTTTTTGCTCTATCAGAGATCATCAGTCATAAGGAACTGAGCTCTTCAGCTTCCCTAACTCACACTTGTAGTTCCAGCCCCAAGCATGGGGATGCAGGTGTGTAACTACATGAAGGACTGAGGGCTATGAACTCTCCTGTTGGTGTGGCCAAAGTCTTGACTGCACTCAGCTGTACACACTGTGCCTTTAATAYACCAAAGATAATATCTGCTTATATTGACTTCTTTCTGAAGTGAGAGGTGTTAATGTGAAGAGACAGGAAAGAGTTGGGTAGTCTGCCCTTCTYACAGGGTTTCACAGAGAACCTGTACTGTTCCTGTCAAGAATCATTTGACTTCACAGCGATARAAGTCCTGTAGCCCAACATCTATGTTCTAGGAAAATAATCTGATAAAGCAAGTCAGTCCTTAAAGATAAACTTTACGTTCACTTTGTCAGGCTAGTTCATAGCTGTCTAGGCTCCATTCTGTGTTTGCTCTGCTTTTTWAATCTGACTTTGCTGTTGGGTGGTTTGTAATGAGCTGTAATGTCTAGGGCTTTTCTGAGGAGTTGCTACCGTGTTGTCTTGCCATGTTTTGCATCAGTATAGACCCAGTGAACTGTAGTGCCCTTATTGAATTACATTTACTGTTTTCAGGTATCATTTTTTTTCTGTGTGTTGAGATAATTTTGAATTCTAATTCTGTTACCCAATGTGTCTGACATTTCTTCTGGATTTCCTATGGATTTGACAAACAGCGTGTCTCAATATCCAGGGTATTTATGAAAATGCTGAATAATGCTGGATCCAGAGCAAACTCCTAAGCTCTGCTCTTACCTTARCCCCTCTGCTCTGACAATGAATAGCTAAAAATTCTGCTCCAGCAGTAGCTTTCCAACCAGTTTCACCCGTTCTGCAGTAGTTTCACCCAGACTATTATTTCTCCAGCTTGCTAACGACATCTTAACAGCCCCTACCAAAAATATTATCAAAGTCRTGATGTATCTTTCTCCTGCTTCTCATACCCTTGAGCCTGATTACTCCATCACAGAAGAAAATTAGATTGGTCTGTCATGATTCAGTCTTGACAAATCTCAGGTAGCTCCTGTTTATTACCGTGTTATCATCTTGGTGTTCAKAGGTGGATGCTTGGTTACTTGTTGATTATGTATTGATTAGCTGCCTTTCTGGAAGCTGAAGCCAGGCCCTCCAAGCTATCATCCTCTGAATCCTCTCTTTTCCCTTGTTGAAGAGAGCACAAAGAGATACTGTCTGAGATAAAACTGCAAGTGGGACYTAACTGATAATCAATTCCCAGTGCTCTTTCATCACTTTTTGATGTATAAGTAATGTGAGAACCATAGTATCCATAGGAATTACCCCTGATAGTTCAGTTCAGACATGTCATGGCCTTGAGGGCAATAAAGAGSCTTCCTGTCCCTGCCCACTCCGCACACTCTCCGCTCCCTGTCCGTGGCCAGGATCCGGGGTGTCACAGGGTCTCAGCCCTGTCCCAGTGGTGCTGCAGCAGGGCTGGTCTCCAGCTCCCCATAGCTCTGCTCTGCCCAGCCAAGGTGGGCCCCATCCCATCCTGTCCCCAGGGATGCCCAATTCCCAGGGCTGGGGCTRCCCCGGTTCCCCTGCCCTGATGCTCAACCTCTGGTTGTTGCCTTTGCAGGACTTGGGGAGGCAAGAGATAAATAGCAAAGGGCAAATGAGCGAGTGACAGCAAAATATTTAAAGGTATGTGGCTTTTGATGCCARTCAGCATTGTTTTCTAGGGCAGAAGGAAAAAGAGAAATGGAAGCTAAGTTTTACAGAACTCCTTGTATAATTTAAGGAAAGAAAACATTTCACTTTTTAGAGGTATGGAAGTAATTATTTTCTCATCACACTGAGAATAAAATTTTAAGGAAGGTTCTAGGCAGCAGGCTGTGAAATCAGCTGTAAAAGTAGTCGAGATGTTCCGATAAACCCAGTGCCATGCCCAGGTGATGTGGTTGTGGCAATGGTGGCTGCAAGGGGCAGAGAGGATGGCAGCAGCATCCYTGGAGAAGGGGTAGCAGAGCAGCACTCTGCCTGGAGGAGTGGAGCAGAGGCAGACTCACCTRCTGGWGTGTGCCTGTGTGTGTCCTACCTTWGGRCAARTCCATAAGCATCAGCTTGGTTGTGCAGTGGCGGAAGRAATTTCTTTGTGTTGAAAATAGCAGCACTTTTTTTCTCCCGTGAAAAGACATTTCCYTCATTCTTGTGTGGTGAGAAAGGCTGACCTTGGCTGTATTTGGCATAATTTTATGGGCCGCTTTAATTTTTTTTTCTGACTTAATTAATCTTCTCTCCAAATGGAATAGTCCTAACCTCTAATTTCTCTTCATCCTCCAGTAGCTTCCTTCCAGATATAGGCTTGACAAAGCTTGTGCTCGGGCCACAGCTGCTGAGCTGTCACTGATTTAATATAACTGCTGATGATGGTTTCAGTTTTCTCTGTCCCATTTGCAGTGCACTCAATTTGCTACATTTCCCATCTCAGCAGACCGAGTAGAGTGTTTCATTTGAACTGTCCACAGGGATGCTCAGATCTGTAGCCTGAGTGGTCACGGTTCATTTGAAATCCATCAATGTACATGCAGAGTTCAATTTCTTTTTTCTAATGTTCATTGTCTTGCATTACTTTATGCTGAATTTCATTTGCCATCATCTTGTCTGACTGTCTGGTTCTCCTAGGGCTGTCTGCACTGCAGGGTAGCCCTTGTCAGAGAAAGGTGTGGAGATGAACATTCTTCTGAGCACTTTTCTGCTTAAGGAATTTGTTGGGGTGGTGGGTCTGTTGGAAGTCTTTCCCAAGCCATTAAGATGGCTCAACCAACATGCTGTGTGATACTGGGGAGCATTGTCTCATCTCCTGCCCTCTATGACTCCTAAAAGGAGCCCTTTAGGAGAGGGAGAAAGAAACCTGGTCAAACCTAGTATTTGAGGGTTTCCAAGCTATTTTTCTTAAAAGGATCTCAAAATCTGGGTATTGTCCAGTGCTTTGAACGAGATGTGTATGTGCCAGTATCTGCCTCTTGCAGCAGTTTTAGGGAGCTCCAGCATTTCCTTGCAAGGTTGGGGGTGCTTTATCTTCTTCATGATTTGGTCTATCAAACAGCTACCACAATTTGTTAAATTGTTATTGTGTGAATAACCTTGATTGCTTTATAATCTATTTTAGATTTTGTAGGTTGTTTCCAACCAGAATTGTGTACCTAAGAGTTCAGCATGGGCCAGAGCTGTGCCTGTCCTCTGTCCTGATGACCCTATTGAATGGATTTCAGCTGCTGGTATTGTACTGAGGCCTAGGAAAGCTAGAGGAAAATTAGGAGAGTAGAAGGATGACCCAGGTCTTTTAACTCTTGTGGGATACTGGGGACWCTCATCTGCAGCTTTCAGTTGTATCAGGGACATCTGTGAGATGGGAAATCTGAGCAAGGCACAGCAGGAAACCTGTTAAATCAGCTGCCTGTGTTTGTATGGAACAGTGATTGTTGAAAGGCTGAAACTGCTTTTCCTCAAAATACCATGTTTCAGCCACCTTGGCTGGAGACTGCTCTCAGACATTGATTGCATGGAAGGATTTCCAAATGCCTGCAGTCTCACACGTTCTGGTAACARGTGCTAAAGGGAATTTGGCTCTGCYTGTGYGATCAGGARCAGCAGCTTTCATCCCAAGCTCAGTCAGTAAGGATAGTGAAGCCTGCAATTTTCCTTGGAGATGGCAGTTTAAACACCCTATCTGTGAGGATTTCCTGCTTTCCTTTCCAAGCTCTTGCCTGCCCTGCCTTCCCCCATACCTGAGTGACTTCCAGATGTGTGGCAATGTCTGAACTTACTCCCTCTGTCTAAACATGGGCCGGCCGCTCTCCCTGACGCTCTGCTCTTGTCTCTGCTCTAGATGACGAGGGCTCCCCAAGGAGAGAGGAGCAGCCGGCGGGGTTTTGATGAAAAAGCTTACTTGTCCTCCAAGGTGCTGAAGGCTGGAGAAGACCCCTACCGCCAGCACGCTTTTAACCAGCTGGAGAGTGACAAACTGAGCAGCGACCGCCCCATTCGGGACACCAGGCACTACAGGTACCCTGCAGCCACGGCTGCTGCTTGGTGTGGGGAGTCCACTGCCCTCCTGTGTGSGTCTGCAGTGTCGGCAAAGGATGTTTTGGGTCTTTCTTTGCCAGCTGTGGTCCAATACTTCCCTGAATTTCATGGTTCAGCTGTAAAGGTCTCAAATGTGCACAGAACTTTGACTAATTCAGCCCCAGCTTATGACTTTCTGACTTTCCTAGTATCTTTTTTCCAGGTCTGAGCATCATCTTGTTTTAGCACTGTCCCTCCACTGCAGCTCAAATTGCAATATCAATCAGATAGTTGTTTTTTTACCCAGCTGCCCCCCTCACTCACTGCCCTCAGCATCCCTCTATCCTGGCTGCAAAGTACACCTTTGTTGCAGCCTTGCTTTGCTGTGGTGTTTCTCACCTGCTGTGCCCTGGCTGTCTGAAGCTGCTTTGGTGCTTCTTTCCAGCCYGAACATCACTGCTTGGATGAGGGCTGCTGGGGAAGGGATGAAACTAACWTGCAAATACAGCATTTCACAGCTTGCAAAGTGCTTATTGTTCTGTCCTTTTTTTTTTTCTCTGGTGATGAATATATTCTGCTGGAAAAAAACTCATCCTCAAATTGCTAATAGTGCTCAGGTAACTATTTTGTAGTTTGTCTTGAAAACTGTAGGTTTGATTGTAATAGGATAGTGTACARTACTCTATTTCTGTCCTAGACTCTATCTAGAACCTACCTGTGGTTGCAAAGAACATTTCACATCTGCTGGGAGCGGGAAACCAGGCATCTAACTTGATTGAAACTGTGAAAGGGATGCCAGGAGGTTTGTGAGCCTGCCAGCACTGACAGCCATCAGAGTGCTTTGTGAAGGCAAACAATCAGACCTTGGTTCTGGTGGGATCCAGGTGTTGTGCTCCTGTTCTCCAGCACAGTATTTGGGATTGGCGTCCTAGTGGCCCGGACGCAGTGGTGCCATGTCCTGTGTTACTGACAAGTCCCCCTGCCATGCAGAATTGCTGTTTTCTGTTAATCTGCTGTCATGTTGTGGCCCATACCCAACTCCCTTCAAAGGTGAATTATTGTTTATTTTGATCTGTGAAGGCATGAAGAATGTCCCTTTTGTACAGAGCCTCATCTGTGCATGTCAGTGAGAAGAGCAACATATATGGGATTCCCTCCAAATGTACGGCCATTTCAGACCCAGCTTTGCAAGGATTCCCTTGAGCAATGGAGAATAGTATACAATCAGAACAAATAAACCTCTTTTCATGTTTCTCCCCTTTAAGGGGTAGGAATTTGGGAATGAGTGATCTGTGTTTGAGTATCTTATAACAATATTGGAGTAGTTGCTGGGATGGCAACTCAGGATGATGAGTTATTTCAGCTGATACAAGTTAGATTGTGGACCTGACTCTTTGTTTAAGGAATGGTAGGAGTCTGTAGGTCACTAACTTACCAATTTTTCTTCAGGCACCCAAACAGAATGTGGACTTGTCTCCACATCCTGCAAGCTCCTTCTGACTTAGCATGTAGCTGTTTCTTTAATCCATAGCACTGAAAGGAACACCTTTCAAGCATGAACCTTGTCCTTGCTCTGTGTGATGCYGTAGTAGTGCTGAAATATTGGGAAGGCTTCCCTAAAGAACACATACAGAAGAGCCTCTTCTGCTCTTCTACTTCCTGATTCCTTAATACATTTTGTATGCATTACATCATGGAGTTATTTTGAAACAATATTAAATATGGTCTGTCTCATGTCTGGTCTCATGTTTTCCACTTTAGTCTTTATCAAGGTTTGTTTATATGCAAATTGCTGTGTGAAGCTGCTGTCCCCTTAATAAAACATTGCAATGAAAAGGTAATAAACTAGTAGGATTGAAAATGATAATAAAAGCAGTGACAGTTTAGCAATAGTCATAAAAGAGTAGTAATGTGGAGGTGCAAGAAGTGGGTCAAAGAAGCAAATTGTATTCCCTCTCAGGATGGAGGTTCAGTCTTTGCAAAGCCTTGAGTTGTTCAAAGTGGGTGTGGATTCTTGATCAGACAGGGAATTAGAGCAGACTGAGTGCAGTTTGACACTGTCTGAAAGTTAAGGCAGACACTTTGGAGGAGCAGGTCAGCCCAAATCTGCTAAGTATCTGCCAGAATTGGATTCAGGACCCACACCTGTGAGTTGCTTCCCTCACAGAAACTTTGTTCTCCACGGGGGGAAGAGTGTCAGAATGTATATAGGTACCTAACATTACGCAGTCAGATGGGAAGATAGAAGGAATTGCTCTTCGTTGCCAGTGGGGCTTTCATTGTTGCGCCTCAGCAGCTCCCCAGCACAGATCACAGCACTGGGTGTGCTTCTCCTTTCTGTAAAGTTTAGTGTCCGAGGAATTTGAAGTGTTTTATACAGCAATTCCTTGGTGTTCCAGCACCATGCATCCTTACYATGTGCATGTCCTGTGTGTGATACAAGATTTTATGTGAATCACAGGTAAATCCAGGGACTAGAGTCCATGATATTGAAACTCAATTCACTGTGAAACCCGCATGACCTCCTTAGCATGMAGCTTTGTGAGCTTAGATATCACATCCTCCAAACTTTGCCTTTCAATGGGCACAGTTCTTTTTAAGCTCTGCCCACCTTGATGCAGGAGCTGCTGAAGCCTCCCGTGCCGCAGCCCAACTGTGCTGGATCTGATTTTAGTGTATTACTCTCTTTTTTGAAATTCCAGGTCCACACTGCTGCAGTGGCTACTGCTGGGTGTGTTTCCCTTACACTTGTGCTCTCCTGTGCTGCAGGTGCACTTCTGTACGCTACGACACTGACTTGCCAGCCACCAGCRTCATCATCACCTTCCACAACGAGGCGCGATCCACCCTGCTCCGCACGGTCAAGAGGTGAGTTCAGCCGGGCTGCTGGAGTCTGGGAGGGCTCTGATGGAAAATCAGRCATTTCCCAGCTGTGAGAGAAGCAGGGTGGCTGCAGCTCCCCAAGTGACAGTGTCATACTCTGGAGCTGCCCACAGGACGGGCAGGGGCTTGGGTTGGCATTGTGGGTGGAACACACCCGCACTCAGGCACGGCATGGCTCCGGTTGGAGCGATCATGAGCACAAGGAAGGGATGCAGGGCCTGCATCTGCAGGTGAGGGCACTGTCAGCTTGGTCTGGAGGAGTGAGAGGGACCAAAGAGAGTCCTGTGTGTTGCTGGGTGCAGCTGAGGGGTGGAAGCTTGGGAGGCACTGTGTTCCCTGAACAGAAATAAGCAGCCAGCTCCCTGCTAGRGCCTGTGCTGCAGGGGCTGAGGCTGGCTCAGTGTGGGCAGGAGTGGGGCTTGTGAGCGTGCCAGGCACAAAGTGGTGAATAAGCCTTGTGGAGATGGAGCCCTTGCTCAGAGCCCCTTGCTGGTAAACAGGTGCCGAAGCTGATGGCCCAGCAGGTGCTCCCTGGGCTTTGCACACAGGCACTTGCTGTCTTGTACCAATGTCTCCTCATRTCTGAGTATCAGCAGTGGCCACAGCTAATTAGGTGGTGTAGGGCCTGTCATCTCCCAAGTAGATGGAAGCTTGCAGTCATCTGTATCACAGAGCAGTGGTCCAGCTGCTCCTTTGCTGCCCTCTTCCATCATCACCACAGAACTCAGGGAGCCTCTTTCCCTTTTAGTTTCCACAGAAAAAAAATGCCCTCTGCCTTCTCTGACTTATTAAGTAATTCCTCAGACTCTGAAGTCTGTGAGCAGGCCCAGGAACAGCCTGTTTGAGGCTGAAGGAYGAGTGAATTGTCTGTGTAGAAGGTTGAGCTGATGGTATCACGAACAGGGATGCATTATTCATCATTGCCACTTCTTCCCTTGACAGGTCCTGTGGACTTAGAGAAATGTTCTATGTGGATAAAGAGCAGGCTTTTTCAAGTTTTCCTCATGTCTGGAAGTCTGGGTTTCTGCCTGCCCAGTTTGGTGTTGCTTTCCAGAAACCTGTATATATTGCATTAACAAATTGTGTCTTTTTATTTCTGTCATTTCATTTGAACCATACAATTAGTTCTACAGAGTCACTGTCCAGAAAACAAGCAGACTTGTTTGGAATTGTGGTGCTGCTAGGGCAGCTGGAGGAGATTTCTGCTGTTTTGGTTCTAGGTTAGATAGTAATTAGTTRGGTGCTGAGAAGCCATGGTAGTAGGATTCTTAAGAAAATTTCAAGGCAGCCAATCAAATAGCCAGATGCCATGATACTTCAAATGAAGAGAAGGTGATAATCAGAGCAGAGTATTACACAGAGAAAGAAATTGATATCCAGATCCTGTGGAAGTGATGTGTGCTAATGGGCAGATGGGTGTTGTTGGTGTTCGAGCAGGCCAGGCTTTCTCAAAGCAAGGTCARCTGGAGCAGGCTGCTCAGGGCTGTGCCTGGTGGGTTTTTAGTGTCTCCAAGGATGAAGACTGAGCAAACTGTCTGAGYATTTTTTTCTCAAAGCTAAACAATCCCAGCTCTTTCAACCTCACCTCGTACATCTGATGCTCCAGTCCCTTGATTATCTTAGTGGTCCTTCACCGGACCTGTTTCATCATGTCCCACTTTTTCTTGTCCTGGAAAGCTGAGCTRGACACAGCACTTAAGATGGGATATTAACAGTCTCTCAGCTGTGGTCTCCTGCAACCAGAGACCCCAACAAAGACCTTGAAAAACAGATGACCCATCTGTTCAGATTGGTCCCTGCAATCTGGAGGAGTGTTGTTGTGAGGAACTGACTGTGCTCTSTTGTGAATGGTGTAGTTGATGAAATTTCCTCCCAGACCTCTGGCTACARCTAGCCTTCATTGCCAGATGATTTCCAGCCAATGCATATGATGGATTTACTCCTTCCTTAAATCACATCAGAAGTGTCAGTAATTTATCGGCATCTCATGAGAGATTCCAAAGGCTGAGTTCTTTTTGGGTTCTACAGTATTTGCAGTGCCACGGAACCAAGCACTGGCTGGCAGCCTTGTCTTTGAGCCCTGAGGGTTTSACAGCCACACTCAGAGGTAAAGGCTCAGGTTATGGCTGCACTGCTGCAGCAGGCATAKGCATAAGTCTGACTTACATGTTGACACTGATGTTACAGAGGSATTTGAAGACTTCACAGAGCTCTTCAGGGCCTCTGCTGTAACCTGAGGGTCCCATCTTTCAGCAAAACTCATCTGAATGTGCCAGGCTGAATTACTGCTGTGAGTGTAATTGTTGCTCCAGTCACATACACCGTCAGTGCACCAATACTATGTAATTACTGTGCATCCYTGGCACTTCGGGATCAGTCAAGTGTCAAAGGGACAGGACTGTTCTGTTCTGTTGGGTTTATGACCTGGCTGTGAGTCTGCAGAGATTCACAGTGATATTAAGCAACAGGAAGCATAAAATTGCATTGCCTGCTTACTAGTCAGGCTTGCAGCTTGTGGTTATTTCTGTATCTGTAAGAGCTTTTTTAAACCAGGTAGAGCATGATTATTTAGATAATTAGAATGAACYATTTGAGATGCATCTAGTGAAAGTTAAATATGAGTCTGTCATTATTATGGGCCTTTTCCCAATTTCYGTTATCATAATTATGCACTGGGGATGCTATAAGATAAATGGGTGTGAAAGAGGAAAACTGATGGAARTGAGCAGCACTTAAAAAGCAAAATTTTCTATGTCTGAAAACATTTYTAGAACCCTAATCTTTTGAGGTGAGTAGAATATGTATTACCAGTTGAAGTTTTCATACTTGAGATCTTTCCAAGTGCAGCTTTTGTGTGTCTGAATTTGGGCACTCAAAARCCAGCCATAAGACTTTAGGAAATTCTAGAATGAAGTACATGAAAAAGATACTGGGATTGAATGGATCTAAAACCTAGAGGGAGCCCARATGCTCTCCCCTGAACCAGATACTGCCCTACTGCGAGGTGACTCAACAAAGTGGCAATGCTGGTACCAAAAGACCTTGGGAAGTGACCCAGGGATGATACTCGTGCATTACAGGCTTATTTCAGGATGATCTAAACATGGGCAGCTGTAGGGGCCAGATCCTGATCTGCATCTCCTTCTTGCTAACTCCATATGCAAGTGTGAACACAGGGACCTAAATGCCACTGGCAGCTCAGCAGTTGCCAGATTCTCCCCAMTGTCCCTGGCATCTCTGCTGCTGGGTGRAAGCAACAGGAACTATGTGCTMTTGTTGCTCCATGAGGGTGGGAGAAATGCTGGTGTATGAGGGAGAGGAGTAGATAGAGGAGTGACTGTGAGGAGGAATAACTTACTCCCTCAARCATCCTGTTGCTTGTCCCTCCTGGTCTCCATGGGCTGCATACCTGCCTTGTAGTGTGGGCTCCAGCCATATGTGTTCAGTGTAGAGGGAGACAACTGCTTAAAAATATCCAGCAAGAGACTAAAAAGGGGAATAGGGAACAAAAAATGGGAAATGGGCTATCAGACAAAACCCGTGAACATGCCACTTCAAATGGCTTGTTGCTGGCATCCTCAGTCCTGCAGGAGATGTGTGTCAGTCAAGAGCTGCCTGCCTGCTTTGATCTCTTTTCCTTGCTAGGACATAGCTGTCACTCTCAAATCAGTCATTTGCTTGGCATCCTACTCTCCTTCAGAAACAACTGTCACTCAAAAGGCATTTTGTGTGATTGATGTCTATGCATGATTAGTCATTAAGTGATACCATCTCTTCTGCTGCCCTGACCATTCTCGCTAAATAARGAGTCACCTGCTTTGTTGTTTGGTCCCTCTCTTTCTTTTTCTGATTTCAGTCACTATTTCAGGGACTGTTTGGTTTTGGTGCCAATGTAAAGGTGGATTGTCAGGCTCTAAGTCAATGGATTTGAGCAGCTGTCAGTGTTTCAGTGCCTATGCAGAGAGCCTGTAAAAATTCTGATTAAGAGGATGSTGTTGTAATGCTAGAGCATTTGGTGTAGCATCTCATTACAATAACAATTTAAATAATGGCAAGAAAGGATATTATTTTAGAGCAAATGGAAAAAGATGCTCATCTGCTAACATCCAGAATGAATAACATTATCTATGAACTGAGGGGGGGATGAATAGAGGAGAGAAACTCAGCAGTGCTGATGTCATGTCATGCAAGGAGAGTAAGGACTCTGATATAGAAAGAAGGAGGCTATGAGCAAAGGCAAAGTAGGCAGGGAATCCATGAGGTGAGGGAGAAACAGTCCGTGTTTCTGTTGTAAAAGGCGGTTGTCATTTGGATTTTGGAATTCTAACAAAGCATTTTTTTGCCTAAAAGTGATGATTGTCATGGCAGACTCTGCACTTCRGTGAAAGGAGATATTAGGATTACTGTGCTCCTTGTTAAAAAGACAGGCAAGACAGAGTGCAAAGAAGATTAAGTACCTTTCCCAAGGATTCATAGCAAGTTATTGCAGAGCTGAGAGAAGAACAGGGCACTGTACAATGAACTGTGAACTCCTCCAGGGGTGTGTTCTCTCTACTGGTGAATCAGTGGACAGGTGAAGGAAACAAAATTATATTTTTCCCCAGTTATGTTGAGTTGAAAGAGCTGAAACTTATGGAGAAAATGTGAGCATTGCTAATAATCAGGCTAGTGGGAGAAGCTGTAGAATGCYATTATACTGTGGCCTGTCTGGGTTGTTCTGCACTGTGTTTGCACAGACAAGAATTTCAGTGCAGGGCAACCTTGTCTGTAAAATATGCAGATGATGACAGTGCTGGGAGAAGCTGCACTTAGAATGGCAGGGGAACATCCCCCCACCTCCCACCTCACCATACTACAGGATCCAGAGAGGTATGAGCCAAGAGGAGCAAATGAGATTCAGCTTTGGAAAACGCAAGCTCAGTCATCTAGGGACAGGCAGGCTCAAAATACAAATACTATCAGAGGCAGATAAAGCACTGTGAATCTGAAATAGAGTGGGATGTGATACTGAGCAACAGAACAGTCAGAATTTTGCTACGTGAGAAAGCAGAAAACTCTTCCAAACTGAGGAAACATTGGCTCTGTATGCAAAGCCACCAGTGATCTTACTTAACTAGAGAGTAATTGATTTCTCTACAGCTTCATTCCTGGCAGTATAGGATTATTCTTGTTGTCTGTTATTTCTGTTGTTTTATATTTCCTATATAAAACAACAACAACAAAATGCAAAAGAGAAAAAAGGCCAGAATTTTTTCTCCAATATTGCTTAAAAGAGTAGGTGCCACTGAAATAGGACAGGTTTCTAGAACTAGGAGGACCGTGTTTACCTCTGGTTTTAGTATTAAAATTTGCATAACTGCCCTCTTCATTGGACTGCCTAAGCATCACTGAGCAACCTTGTTGAATTTAATGAGGACCTGCCTGTGCATAGAGGCATCAGAGGAGGTTTGAAAGGGGAMTATACTGTGTGATGGTAGTAAAGCCAAGGGAAAGACTTAAAGAAGCTCATGGAAAATGAATTCAAGCATTTAAAATTAATGAGACTGATAAAGAGGTCAGAATCAAACTGCTCAGACTCCAGGGTACCATAGTGCTGAGGAGGGCAGAAGGTTTTATCTGCTCTCCTTGTGGTATCCTGCAGATGCAAACTCACTGCAGACCCAAGGGTATTACATGGTACAGTGCACCCAGCCTGAGGAAAGGAGGTGTTTACAGCAAGTGTGGTGCTGGTTTGAAAGACAGACAGATAACAGGCAAAAGAGGGGGGAAAAATCCAAATCCAGAATACTGGCAGTATTTCCTTTCTGAAGAAGGGAATTGGTGATAAAGCTCGAGTAGGTCTCACCTGTTGCATTGAGATAGAGCTCCTTGCTGGGGAAAGTGGCAGCTCTTTCCACACTCCAGTAATGATGAGTTCTGCCCAGAGTCTGGCTGATRGGAAGGCCTTGGGGCAGGGGGTGCTCTCCATTTCATCTCTGTTTAGAGGTAGAGAGCATCCTGCAGCACCCTGTGCTAGCTGTCCCCAGGCAGGTCCCACAGTTGGATCCTGGCTGGGGATCCTTGTAAGGTCTGGCTGAGAGGCCATAGCTCTGTGGGATATTCTGTTGCAAGGGCAAGGTCACCACTTCCACTTTCCTGGAGTTTGGTGTTCCTGCTGTAATGTGTAGCACAGCAGATTTCTGTCAGTCCTAACATGGTCCTTATTATGGCMGCTCACAGAATGTCTTTTTCTCTCCTGGTGCTTGCAGTGTTCTGAACCGCACCCCTCCCGGTCTCATCCAGGAGATCATTTTGGTAGATGACTTCAGCTCAGATCGTAAGTTTGGACATATTTCCTTTACTTGTATTTCTTCCTTCTGTTTTCCTGCTTTTTGYTGGCTCTGTTGAGTCCCCCTCCCTCACAGATTCCCTCTTGTCTGTATGCAGGAGAAAAAGGAAAGGAAGTAAGTCTTTCTGTGTTTAACGTCCATGCATGGYAGAGGCCAGGGCTTCTTCCTCTCTTTTTCTTACATTGGGTCTTCCTTTTCTGTCAGCGTGGCTGTTTTTGCTAGGTTGCCAGAGATCTCAGCTGAGTTTCCTGATGCACCATTTGGTGAGCTGTTTAGCACAGATATATATGTAGCAATGGTGCACATGAGCAGAGCAGGTAATTACAGACCAAGAGACAAGAAGAGGATGCAGTGGAGCATTGCTCCAGCAGAAAATTGCTGCCTGGGATCCTTCAGGCAGACCAAGGCAAGACTGTCTGTCTGCCTCCATGTGTCTGGGATCCCTGGTGTCCCTGTGGGAAGCTGTGGAAGAGTTACTGCTTTGGACATGACCATACCTTCTTCCGCAGCTTGGCACAGGGATGGAGTGTCCACAGGGACTGGAGGCTCTACAGTCTTTCCATCTGTACACTTGCTCTTTCCCGTGGCTGTTGTGTAGTAGTTGTGAGGTGGTGGGGATAGGAGACTTCTGCTTCTTCCCGTGATGTGYTCTAGATTCAAGGACAATCTGGTTATGTGCCATTTACAATAATTGGCAATTACTCCTTCAGAACACTTTTCAGATAGCTGTGAATGCCCACCTTGGCCTGCAGAGGTAAGGAAGCAATGCTATTTTGATTTTGCAGCTAAATACTTACTAGTGCTCACAAAAAGAAACTTTTTTAAAGATGGATGCTGAAATGAGGGATTTACATTTCTGAGGGCCTTACACTATGACTTGAATAAGTACTGAGCGGTGCTCAGCTGTTAAAGTTCAGTGTTTCTGAGCACTTCCAACAAACAATCCTAAGTGTTCCACATTCTGCACCTAAAAATTCAGTTCTCAATGGGCAAAGTGTTCCAGATGAACACCGATGGATTTCTGGTACCTCTTCTGCACAGGRTTCAACCAGAAACTCACATTTAGGCTCCTCAGTAAACAGAAAGATTTTTAAAAGCTTCATCCTATCACAGCTTTTATTTTTTTTCACTGACAGTTTGGTATTTGTGTATATAGCCATTTCTCTGAGACATCTTCCTGGAGGCACTTCAGCACGTTTGAGGTCTGACACTTTGCTTTAATACCTGCCTTAGTTTCTCAAATATACTGAGAGTCTGTCATCTCTGGCAAGCAGCTGCAGGCAGAATGATGTGCTCCACTCCTGCAGAGTGAAAGACTTAATAAGGATTCTCATTTCTGAAGTTGTGACTTGCTAAGAGCATCGCCTTCCCCTGTAGCAGAGGTCCAGCAAAATCTTGGTGCTCTGTAATTCAGGGCACCTGCCACTTCCCTTGGATGATGCAGCATCTGCCAAAGWGCCAACAAAAGAGCAGTATTTCACATTGCATGTATCCTTGAGAATGGAAGTGCTTGCACAGGAACGTGCTAAGAGATGCACTTTGGCTAAGGGCCTTTGTGATCCCCCAGAGTGCTCAGTCTGTGAAAAGAGGACAGCAGGAAAGAGGGGGCATGGGGTGTGAAAAGGAATGTGGAATAAACATGGAAACTGGGGTGAATTTGATGGAGCAAGAAAAAAGAGCAAGTTAGAAATTGCTGTTCCTATGACGTCTGCTAGGGCAGGAATAGAGAGAGGGTGACAGAGAATTAAAGAATGCTCGTTGGTACCTGAGCTGGAGCAGGTACTGTTCCTCTCCTTCATCCTCCCTTGGTAGTGTAAATAAGGGATGCCAGGAGTTTCTGGCAAAAGCTGCCAGCAAAGCCCTTGCGTCAATGTGACGGTGTCTCCAAGGAAGCAGGTCACACTCCAGTGGCTTTTATTAAATAAAATCAAGGGGAAACTGCCCTGAGAATAAATGGCAGGAAATGCCCGGATGAGCCACTGAAGGCAAAGAGAGTGGCTACAATCACTTCATGTTACAGAACTCTTTTCTCCTTGGTAGTTTGGTGATTTGCAGTCCCAATTCCCTGTGTTCCCTCCATTTCATTAGTGTCCAGTGCCACGCTGCCAGCACATGCCCCATTGTTCTTGTGAAATGCTGAGCAGGAGAGATGGAGGCCTGGCTGTTCAGGGGATTGGGAAACATGGGCTCAGCTGCCTGAGGAGGACAGCAAGCAGGCAGTGCTCTTCTGAGTACTCTTTAGACAAAAGGATTAAGGCCATCAGGCTGATCAATGTGATTTTAAGTGAAAGCAGAATTTCCCTCCCATGGAGAAGCAGGAGGACAGTTAATTGGGGCTCTATGTTGAAGTCAAATAATTCATGTATGTGTGCCAAATGTCTTTTTTGCCTTCCCTAAGCTGAGGACTGCCAGCTCCTTACCAAGATCCCAAAGGTCAAGTGTCTACGAAACATCCGTCGAGAAGGTGAGTATGGAAAGATTTCTAAGTTCAAAGATTTTGCCTGTTTTTCCACATGACCCTGCTTGCCTGCCAGCTGCTTACATGTTGTTTCTTGAAGTTTGTTTTTGCTTATCAACTCTCAGGCTTCAGGGGTCTCATTTACTACTTAAATAATGAGAAGTRGTGTCCAGAGGCCCTGGCTGGAACAAAGACCACATTTTAAGATCTTTGAATCTGAATAAAGATGCAGATGTCTTTTGCATCTTRTCCTTTTAAACTCAAGCTAGCTCTTGCACTTTCAAATGCAAGATAACAAGCCATGTAGGAGATGTGGGAGAAGGAAAAACAATCATATATCTATCATAAAGAGATACAATTAAGGAAAGTTTTTTCTCATATATCTCCTACATGCATATATAGTAGCTCTGACTTTCCCAGCTGCTCTTTAGTTTGACTCACATATGTTGGCTTACTTCTAAAGCTGCCAGTGCACAGCAAGAGTGAGGATCAAGAAGGAGAGACAGGAATCACTGTTTAGCTCACAAGGAGCATCCCACACATTGGGATGGTCTGTAGGAAAGAAAGGAGTCATCTGAGAGCTGGGCTGATAGCTCTGCAGGGCAGAATAGGGGACAAATGAGGAGAATCACCTGCTCTTCTCCTGTAATGGCCACACAAAGTATTTTTTCTGAAGGAGATTCAGTTGTTTCCTGTTCTAACCTTCCTGCTCCTTTGCTGTCCTTTCCTCCTTGTAGGGCTGATTCGCTCTCGGGTGCGAGGAGCTGAAGCGGCAACTGCTGACATCCTCACCTTCTTGGACAGTCACTGTGAGGTCAACAGCGAGTGGCTGCAGCCAATGCTTCAGAGAGTGAAAGAGGTGAGCACCACGTCCTGCTCTGGCATGGATGGAGCTGGCCTGTCCTGGTGGATCTGCTGCCCTCATGTGCCATCAGCAGCACTGGTGAGGACAAGGCTTGCCAAGATATTCCTCAGGCAGGCTGTTACAGAGGAAGGTGTGGCCTGAGCTAGATGGGCAAGAGATCCCTGATGGGATTCCACRTTCTGCCAGTGTGACAAGGCAGGAGGTGCAGAGGGATGGGGTGCAATGGTGAGTGCTGGAACCACCAATTTGTACYTTGTCTCCTGCAGGCATTGTGCCTCTTAGTCCTGTTCACCCGTATRTAGGACAGCCACTTGGGCAACTTCTCCATGGTTTCCATCTCCCTTCTTGCTGCTGGACCCTCTCCTCTGCCTTGTCACTGCCAAAATTCTCCTTCCATTAATGTTCCCACTGAGCTGCCAGCATACATCACCTGTATGCAGGCAGCTTTCCAGCACAGAGAGGCTGCCTGTGAGTGCAGGGATGTCYCTTTGATGGTTCACTTGGCAAAGGATTGATGTAAGGCTGGAACAGTGAAAATGAGGYGGAAATATTAGCAGCTGTCACCCTGACTGCACTGTAGAGCTGGAGGGGGAGACCATACAGCTCTGCTGTAAGAAAAGGCAGGGGAGAGGTGATGAGAGAAGCATGCTTGCAAGTGGCTGTGATTGTATCCCTCTGAAAGGARGATCCCATGAAGTTATGGGCCTCAGGAGAAGGGGTGGGGGCTTTAATGTTGCTTTGTAAGCATGTCTGATTAGCATAATAAGAAAGAACAGAAGAAGCTGAAACTTCAGGATTGATGAATTAAAAGCTTCTGCTTTTTATTCTTGTTCAATAAATTCTCTGTCTCAGAAGCCCATAAATATTTAGTCTGCTATTGGTCTTTAAGTCAAGCTGCACCAGCACCAGCATAGGGGTCCCTAAGCAGAAAGAACCTCACTCATTTCTTTAGGGAAGTATCTAAATTGCAACAGCCTGGCAGCTGACTCCAGTATACAAATTTTTAAGTGGGTAGATTTCAAGTCAGCCTATTTTCTACATTCCTGATGGGTATCCTAGTTCAGATTTCAGCCTTTCCCCAGCCAGTCCTGGCACTGACTGGTTGGAGTAGTGGCTGGCACACCAGGCTGCCAGGTGGGTACTGGGGGACTCAAGCTGGGCAGACACGCTCTCATTGGGCAACCATCACAGCTCAGAGGGGAAAAAACATGAATGATAGCTCTTACCAAGGATGTGCTATCCTGTGCTACATCAGGAGGAACTATTGCAAGGCACAAAATGAAGGTTTGAAAGGAAAGACACGCATGATGGCAGCTGTCCAATAACAAGGTGCTGTTTCTGGCATTRCCAGCTCAGTTTCATTTTATATGTCAGCTGTCACAATGCTGTCTTTAATGCCCTGTCTTATGATGTTGAAAAATTGTTCAACTTCTATGCACTAAAAGGATTGCAGAGGAAAACTGACTAATAAACTGACTCATAAATATACGCCTTAATGGCAATAGTCACAATATCTTAATATTACATATACAATGTATCATATGTATTATAATGTTTGTATTATGAATCTTAAATGTGGGGTCTTGATTCATGTACTTGTTAGGAAGATGTTTTATTAGGGGGTTGATAATTTCTAGGCTGATGATAGTTAATTCAAGGATGGTTGAGCAGAAGATGTGCTGTCAATAGATATCAAAAGCAAGCACAAAACCCTTGGGACAGTGATTCATGCCCTGTGACTTGGGCAGGAAATAAAGAGCTGGTTTTTAGTGACATTTCTAAGTGTTGAAGTCTGACTCCATTCCCCACATCCATGGAGTGCAGCTGGCTAGTACCCACCATCTCCATGTTTGGATGTAGTGACCACAGATAGCAGAACCATATTGGAGAAACCAGACMAAGATTTACATGTGCAACTTTGTGTTTCCTGATCCCTGGTAGCCTTGTCAGATATTAAAAAAAAAGCCTGACTCCTTTTTTTTTCCCCTTTCTCTCTCCCTCAGGATTATACCCGAGTGGTGAGTCCAATCATTGATGTTATCAGCCTGGATAATTTTGCCTACCTGGCAGCATCAGCAGATTTGAGGGGAGGTGGGTGTAATGAATGGCTTATGTAAGTTAGACCRGAGGGATGGTGCATGAAAAATAAATTGTGTTATCTTCAGCTTTCCAAGAAAACAGTGATGATCTTTTCTGATAGGTTATCTATCCCTTTTTCTCTGCAACTTGCGAAGTCAGACCTTTTGAATAGTTAAAACAAAACTCAGCTAATATTTTCCTCTTGAACTTGAATCACTGTCATAACATTTAGCAATTTCAGGACTTAGTTAATTGTTTAAATATCTCACCATGTCCTCACTATGCTGCATGCATACTGGCGTCTGACAGGCACTTCCATTTGCTGCTTTGATCTGCCAGGATATCTCCTGGCATCTTCTGAAAAACATTTTTACCTGTCTCCTCACAGCTGAACCCTCTGCAGCTGTACCTGTGCTCACCCCATTTTCTGGTACCCTTCTACATCTTTTATGGCTGGGGTTTACTTCTGCACTGCTTGCCAGCCAAAGGCTGCCTGTTCTTTGGCTGCCCTTCACAATGGTCTAAAGTTACTGTGCTGTGCTCTGCTATCCACCACAGGCCATTCATAAGTACATGGTAGTCTTGAAAGACGTGGTGGCTACAATGATCTGCAGGCCTTTGTTCCCACAATAGATCACATCCCACAAAGTCCTTTACTAAAGCCTCCTAACTTTGGCAGACAGGGTTTGACTTTGGTAAGATAGACAGGCCAAAATATGGTAACATCTCAGACTGACAGCACTYCCCTGAAGGTGTGGAGTGAAATCAAGGAGAGATCTGTAATGCTCAGGAATGATGGTGCCAAGACAGAAGTTGGTGAGGTCTACATTAGGATAGACTATTGCCATTTTGAGTAGCCTGTGAGGGAGGTCAGGGAAGGAACATAGGGATAGTCTCCACCTTTGTATCACAGGCTATCACTGAAGCTAGTAGTACTGTTTTTACAATAAGAAAACAAAATTGGCGTGTCTTTTTAATTTTCAGGGTTTGACTGGAGCCTTCACTTTAAGTGGGAACAGATTCCTATAGAGCAGAAGATGTCCAGAACAGACCCAACTCAGTCTATAAGGTAACTCCTCCAAATGTCTTTGCCAAGCCTTCACCGAGGGGGCAAGGAGGGGACTGCCTTGCTGAGGACAAAACCCACTGTGTTCACTTGATGACAAACTCTTCATGTTATTTTTTGAATACACTGAGGTCTGTACCCTAAGTGTGAGAGTATTGCTCTCTGAATATTCTAACAATAGCAATTATATACTAGCAGGCATTATACCTCTCCAAGCCACCTCTTYTTCTATATGTTTGTTCTTGTGGTCTCACTAATTCAACACTGAAGGCCTCAGAAATCCTTTTGGGTTTTTTTAATAACCTCCATCTTTCAGATGAAAGCTTAAGGAATGGAGCAGATAAACGGTCATCAGCATGTGTAAAGCAGATCAGAGAACTGAATCCTACCTAGTAATGTGGGCACAGAATTACTCTCACCTACTAAATCTGCATGTTCATGGACAAAAGAGATTCTGTCGGCTAGAACAGTTGTTGCCAGCCTCACTGCAGGGTACATGGCTCTGAGACATGTGGAATGTAACAAATCCTGATATGAAAAGTCATGGTGCTTGTCTGTTTAGGCAGATAGCTCTCTATTTGTAATATAAAAGCATCATTTAATTCCTTTGTGTAATTTGTGAGCCTGTTTTGCACTCCAGAAGCAACCAGCTTGCTAACAGCAGAGCAGTACATGCAGCAGCCTATCACACCATGGCTGATTGGTGAACACAGTCGTCAAACAGTTCCCATCATTCCTTCACACTGTGCATAATTTGTATAAATGCAAAAGACACAGCATTACTCTTGTAGCGCTTGCAAGACCATCTAACAAAGGCAGGAGGATGATCTGTGAGGGGCAGCTCAGAAACCTGCTGCAGGCTCACATTCCTGCTCTACTACTTTTCTCTTTTAAATGAGTTACAATTTGTGAGGCCTGGACAAATTGTCTGCCCTTTAAAAATAGGTTTGTGGTGCAACTTATATSTGTGATTATTTTGTCTAGATTTCTGTTTTCTCTTCCAGAACTCCTGTCATAGCAGGAGGCATCTTTGTGATTGACAAGTCCTGGTTTAACCACCTGGGAAAATATGATACTCAAATGGACATCTGGGGAGGAGAAAATTTTGGTGAGTTTAGGATGTTTCAAGGGAATRCCACACTAATGAAAAACCACCTCCCAGTCTTCATCACGTACCAGAACACCGTTTGTGAGAGATCTGATCTGCATGTGTGAGGTTAGAGACGTGGTCAGGTAATCCCCAAGGTGGTTGGAGCTGTATCGCAGTCAGCATAAACTAAATGGGGACTTTGTGTGATCAGGCTACCCTCTCCTACAGGCATTTGTGCTATTTTACAGGAGCTTCCAGAGTACAAGAAAGAAAGAGGAACCTTCTGATGTTTAAATTGTTGCTTGTTTTTCAAGACTATTCCTCCAGTTCTTCACATGACAGTCTGTGTTGCCCCAGCTCTGAAGTGGGCAGCCAATCCTGTAGTCTCCTCTTGTACCTTTCCCTCTCTTGAAGCCAAGTGTGAATTGTCTCCCAGCTTGACAGGTCAGAAGGGTATTTTTCATGATAAAACAAGCCTCTTTGTAAGTGGAATTGGGTTACAAATAGATTCAGCATGCAAACATTGAGAAGCAGACTAGGGCATCACAAACATCTGAGGAATTCAGAGGCCCAGTGTAGTCCAGTCCACTCACATGCTCTTATAGGCCATGGTGCTTAAAACCCATCTCCTTGCACTTCATGGTGGCACAGATATTCCAGGCATCTCTCTTTGCCCCATGTGAAGGGATGCTGYAGTGTCACCAGGTGTTAATGACAAAAGCAAGAAGAATGTTAGAGAGAGGTTCTCGGAGACCTGGAGACCTCAAGTATCCAAGGCATTCATTTAGAAATGGTGCAGATGGAGCTGAAGAGATAAGAGCCTTCCTTTTTGTAGTCAACTTAAATAGGTTTCTCTGTAGCTAACACAGCCAAAAAAAAATTCTGTTCGTACAGCTTCCATAAATGTCACAGATATATAAATAAAACGCTTTAAAAAAGAATTTGTATGGTGTTTACTAGCACCTGGAGAACCAATTAGAAAGAATGAAATAGTCAGGAAGAGGAAACTTTKGTTTGTCTGAACACAGCTGGCAAASCTGCCTMTTTCTGAAATGCTTTCTGAAACCASGAAATAATATTTTGGGCTGAYAATRGACCCTCAAAGTACCACATTTAAAAGCAAAATATCTAATAATGAGCRTTCTCTGTTTTCCCAGGTCTTGCTTCATTTTTATGGTACTCATTATATTAAATAGTGATATTAAATAGTGCTGGCATTGKAATCTCAGCAGTGCTAGTGGCATCAGCTAAGCACTGTGGCAGAAGTTACAGGAAGCCTTTACCCAGGCATGAAGATTCCCCTTTCCTGTGTCCCTCAGACTCCTCTGCACTGCCAMACTCAGCTCCATGCTGCTCAGCTGTTCCAGCTGCAAAGCCTGCTACTTGGCCATTCTGCCAACCTCTGAGATGCAGCTGTGTAAAAGCTGTAAACCCAAAGATTGAGAAAGAATATTTCTTTAGGCTTTTGTCTGTCTGCTTCTGCCCACCTGGGTGCCCARTGTTGTAGTTTTGTATGTCAGTAACATGATGCTAAGTGGAGCTGTCTGCCATAAGTAGCAGTAAATTATTTGCATGCTCACAGCCATTCTTCCATGTAGAGCTGATCAAAACCACAGAAYTGCTGCACAGAATTTGCTTAGTTCTCCGTGAAATAGCTCTAGTAAAGCCTGRCAGTGGCTGGCCAGTTGCCACTTGCCAGTTTTGCCTTATTAATGTGTTTTTTYTGTAAATKCWGTAWMTTCTGTSACTTRTCCCTCAGCCTCCATCAAGTCTGTTGCTGCTGAAAGCAGAAGGCTAGAAATCAACCCGGATTTGACAAGAAAAAGTATTCGTATTCCTTGAAGAATTCAGAATGGTTGATTTACCCTCTTCAAAAAAAAAAAAAAGTTTACCATACTCAATTGAAAACTGGGGTTTCTGATCAAGGAAAAATACTGATAATGTTATGAAACATTAYTTTTACTAAATATTATAATTTTGAGTGGAAAGGGGCTGTTTGGTTTAGGTCATCATTTGTAGATGAGATGAGAGAGTGGTTCTGTCTAAAGTGATGGGCGAAGTCTTCTCTTGGGAAATGGACATCACTTGTAAGTTACACATGCCAGACTGAGAGTTTTRTTTCTGTTGTAGACCAAAGTGAGTCAGAAACTCATTGCAGGAGAGCAAATGTCAGCTGGACAYATCACCAGAGAGAAATTTATGTMTTGGGGTTTTTTTTTGTTTGTTTCTAAAACCCTTCCTTGCTTCAAATCTGGAACTCCCTGTTGAAAAGAATCTGAAAAGAATTACTCTGGAAGAGTCAGGAGAGAAAAGAGCTAGTAAGAAATACTACAAAATACAGTCTAATCAAATGGTGTTTTTTTACTTAGAAGCTAGATTAAATACACCATCTCCCCCCATCCTGCAACTCACTGTTTGAACTACCTCTCAGCATGCAGAGAGGAAAGCTATGGAGAAAGATGAAGGCTGGGGAGATGTTAGCGTTTGTGCATGGTTTCAAACATCCATTRGATCTGGATACGTAATTTCTTTTTAGTTTCTAAGCATCAGAGCCACATAAATCAGGCATTACTGCAGGGAAATCCCAACTGAGTCACGTTTTGTAGTAATCAGTCTATTCCATCTGAAGCCCTTTTGGTAAGGACTACCAAACTACCCAGCTAATTTTCGTTTTCCTTCTTTCTTCTCATCACCACATGAATTGCAAGTGGAAAACCCCTCTGGTGTGGCAGTGATCAAACTTGTGAGGACAGACCCATAAGTTTGAGCAAGGTCACATGCCTTCTGTGATGCAAATAAGTGCCTGTACATCAAAGCTCCATGTTCTTCCAACACTTGAACARAGTGTTGAATCTAGCTTCAGGATAGGGTGGATTTCTTCAAGCAGCAGGATTCTGTCTGTGTTTTCATAGCTGTACTGTATTAGACTGGTATCTGCTCTGAGCAGTTCCCCCAGCAGAGGCAACTGTAACAGTCATCCTCTTACTTTTTTTTTTTTTACATTAATAACAGAGCCAACCAGAATGAGAACAAGGAGCTGTTGTAGGGTGGATAACATAGAGCTGTGAGGGAGAGAACTTCACTCTAGACATTGACTGTGCCCTCATCTTGGTTCTCTTCTTTCCCCTTGTCTTCTTAATTCCCTTTCCTCCTCACAGGATTTGCTTTACACAGTAAATTCTTCCTTTTTAATTCCATCTATGCTCAGGGATGAGAGTAACAGAAGTCCAGAACAATGTGTGTGTGTGGAGGGGGGAGTGATCTCAGTYTGTTTCCAAATGCCATCCTGAGGTCCTGACATCTGAGCAACCTCTAGGACCTGGTTAAATGCAAAGGTGTCTCACTAAAATCAGACCAAAGAGGGGCAGGACTGGAGAAAGCTTGGAATTCCCTGAGCCCAGTGGTTGTCTACATTTTAACAATGGGAGAACAGTGCCTCTGCTCTCTCCATGGCACTGCTTTCCCTGATTCTGCTGTTGCAGGCAATACACCTAGAGCAGAGGGGCAAGGAAGTTGCCCTTCTTGGAGCTGTTGCCTACTTGCCTGCGGCTGTGTGACTCTTGGGGTCTCTTCCAGAGCTCTCTTTCCGAGTGTGGATGTGTGGTGGCAGCTTGGAGATCGTTCCCTGCAGTCGAGTGGGACACGTGTTCAGGAAGCGCCATCCCTATGACTTTCCTGAGGGCAACGCGCTGACTTACATCAAGTAGGTGTTGGGTAGTTCCAGGTAGCAGCTTCGTGTTGGGCGTGGCTAAATAAGTTTGAATTCTTTGTTGTGCTTTTGCCTGGTAACAGAGTGCAGCTTGTGGCTGAGCATCTGTTCTCAAAGGAAGGATGAGTTGCTGTTTTCTKTGAACAAAACCTGTTCCCTTCTGTGTTGTTTGTGTTGGTGTGTCTTACTCCTCCTCAGTCTCTGGTGGAGGCAGGGAGCAGTATGCCAGAGAGAGACCCTGGCCATTCACAGTTGCTGCCCTGTGGCATGTGCCTGGGTGTCAGCAGTCCTTGGACATCTCTGTTGTCTGTGAGCTGTACCTGTTCTAAGATAAGCCCTGAGGACAACTTCTGCTGCAGTAGATGGGAAAAGAGATGAGACAAAGTGCTTGCCAGTGGAAGCACTGATGCAGGGTCCCAGAGAGATGGTGAAATCTCCATCATTGGAGATTTCAAAACTCAACCAGTCAAGACCCTGAACAACATGACCTAATCTGAAKCTAGTCTGCTTTGGGCAGGAGGTTAGAGGTTAGATAGAGGTGCTTTCCAAGCTGAATTATCCCATGGCCTTATTCTAATCTGGGAAAAGGGGTACTAATGAGTGTGATGGTGACAAGGCCCAGTGTCTCTGCAGAGGAASTATGTGTGAAAATGTCATGGTAAACTATGGCTGTTAAATTTGTAACTTCCAAACTGAAGTGTTCTTGCAAGGCTGTGTAGACTTAGCATGCTCAGTGTCTGTCCATCCATACTGCCCACTCTGTTTTGTGTTTGGGGCTGTCCCCCACTCTCTCTGGGCAGACAKCCCCAAAGCAGTGCCTGCTGGCTGGGAGGGCAGGTTCTGCAGCACAGCATTTCCTCAGCCCAGCCTCTGCTCATGCCCACACAGGAACACCAAGCGCACGGCAGAGGTGTGGATGGATGAATACAAGCAGTACTACTACGAGGCCCGGCCGTCTGCTATTGGCAAGTCCTTTGGAAGGTAAGCTGCCCCAGACCTTGGTAGGAGGGCTCTGGTTAACCCCTTGGTAGCAAGAAACAGTTTTGAGGTCTTCTTTGAGGTTAAGTGTGAGAAACAGAGGTGCTCTCARTGGCTGGCTTGCCAGGGAGATCGTAGCTGGAGTGTCTGGTTAATGAGGTTTGCTTCTAATTCACTCTATTTTTTTCCCCAGTAACCCTGCATAAATCATTTGTTAGCAGAAGGGCAGAGGGATCTGTAATGAAATTAAAAGACCAGACATTTTAAGTGGATAGATAGGAACATTTTTCTAACACAGCATGCAGCTGTTCTGGAAACATGAGCTGTGCAGTTACTAGAGCTGGATCTGAAGTTCCTCTGTGGATGCAGGATCCCAGGGCAAGCGCAGCTGGCTGGCACTCTCCTCTTTCCTGATGGATGAAGAGTGATTTGCCTAGTTGGTAGGGCAGGAGAGAGCGTGGCCAATGGTAAGATGTCTCAATTGGAAACACAGAGCTGTGCTCCCTAGAGCACCTTTGTTAAAGCTGTTTGCAGGCCACATGGGATTCACTGTTCTCAGCTGGTTCTCTGGGACCCAGAAATGAGTGATGGACACCAAACCTTGGATGAGGSGAGAGCTTGCTCTCTTATGGTCTCAAATCCCCATGTCTCCTGAATTAGTGTAAAAATCCCAGCAGTGCTGTATTTCTGTGGGTTGACTCTGCCTGTGAACAAGTGACTRTTGTTGGATCAGTGTAAGGACTTGGCAAATGTGGCTGTGTCTCAAATGTGTAGCTGTGTGCACAGGGTAATGATGCATCTCCTACTTACTTATGACAACCGGGTCACTTTTCTTGCTGTACACTGTGCTTTATTATCATGATGCATTACAAATCTTCATAAAAATAGCTTTGCCTGCCTAATTTATCAGTCCTTGAGCAGACTGCAGCAGCTGGGCTGGGACCAAATAGCAAGTAACCCTGCTGCTTGTGAAGGAAAACAGACTATTGCATATTGTATGTGGATATATTGCTCATGTGTTTTAGCAGCAAAACCTGTGGTTCTTGCTCACACAGATTTCCTAGTAACTTTACTGGCAGCATKAGCTGAATAAAAGCTGGAGCAGAGCATAAGGCTTTGATTTCAGGCAATTTCCTGTAGTAACAGATCAGTGAACCTGCATTAAATCTAGATTTTAGGGTGCAAATGCCTTTGATACCATCACTGACAACTGGGCCTAAAATGGACCCTCCTTCCCCACAATTCTCATATGGATATAAAATCCAGGAATATTCCCGAGGGATGTGGCCTCATGTATACGTACATACAGTGGCCTCTGTGTGCTGAGGTTGGAAAGGTACACGGGTACAGTTGAAATTCTTTCCCAAGACACAAGTGTAGTGTTATAGCATAAAGACAAGAGTTCCTGGTTTTGCTGCTCAGTAGGACTGCTGGAGGGAAATCCTCTTCTTCAGCCAGATAAAGCCAAAGAAATCAGCAATGGGAGGACTGCCACAGCAWACACTACTGAGATGTTGAGGTAATCTCCCTTTATAGTCCCATCCTTGCCCCAAACTGCTTAAGAACAAATAATTAAGTTCACAGAGTCTGAGTTCTCCAAGCTGAGCCTAGAGCATSTGCCATGAGCTAGACACATGCTTTAGCACACACAGGTTATTCATCTGTATGTACCTGAGCACAAACACTTTCCAGGCCTTTTCAGCAGCTGTCTTGTGCAGGTTTCATGGTAAGCCTCCACAGGGGCACCCAGAGGCAGAAATGCTTTCATGATCTTAYGGCAGTTTTACTGCAATGTATTATTTAACAAGGTAAGACCTGGACTCTGCCATCACTCTGAGCCAAAGGAAGTGYAAGAACAGCTCTCTGAAGGTGTTKGTCTTCCATTTCAGTTTCCTGCCACTTGCCTCTCTCCTCCTTTTCACCTCAGGTCACTGTAGTGCTCTGAACCCAGCAACAACTACACAGGAGAATGACTAATGACAAAAAGTCACATAATTTCCCGCAAACCTCCTGGCCAATTTTCATTGTTCCCCTCCCTCATGTTCACTGCCTTATTCTCAACAAACTGCCTTTGTTTCCAGTGTTGCAGACCGAGTGGAGCTGCGGCGCAAACTGAACTGTAAATCCTTCCAGTGGTATCTGGAGAGTGTCTACCCTGAGCTCAAGTGAGTCAGTTCTTCACTTGTAGAAATCTCTGAGGAATTTGGGAGGTGGGTCACAATGAGAAGATGAGCATTGACAGCAGTAAGCAAAAAAGAGACTTACACTTGGAAAAGATTTCCCTCTGTTCTTCTTTTGGTGAAAACCTCCCGTGTTTTCCTGGCTTGTATTATCACATCTTTGTAAAAGGTCTGCCTTCTGTTCTGCCCSACACAGCTGTCCCTTGGAGATACACAACAGTGGTGTTTTCAGACGTGTGGGGTGTAGACAAGTGCCAGAGCACTACCCCGCTCCCAGTTTTGACTTAGTCTCTGCCCGTTTTTGCCGCCTCCAGATATTTCTGGTGGATATCATGGTGCTGTTGATTCTCTGTGAAATATAGGGGACTGTGTTTCAGTCAGGGGCCAATTACAGCCTTACAAATGTTAAAGTACTTTGAACATTTCTGTGTATGAAGTACCATGCAACTATCATTTTACTTCAAGGATTCCTGAAAAAGAGTTGATTCCRGGAATAATTAGACAAGGAGGAAACTGTCTGGAGTCTCAGGTGCAGGATACCACAGGGAATATGTTGGCTGGCATGGGAAACTGTAAAGGGACGGTGAACAATCCGCCTGTCACCCAGGTAAGGGAGGCTTCAGTTTGGTGCTTTGCTCCTGCTCTTACCCTTTTTATTACCTCAGAATGAAGAGGCATCTCTGGCCTTGGTGGGTTTATATGGGGGCGAATGAAGGGAGAGTTTGAGCCTCTTAATGATTTTAATAGTAAGCAGAAAAAGAAGCTGTGCCCATCCCTCAGAGCTCTGTTGGCTCAGCAGACTCAGCCGTCAGGCACAGAGTGTGAAGGTTTTCAGCACTCAGAGACAAAAGTAGTGCTTGAATGCTCAGGGAGTGACAGACACTTTGAGAATCATTTTGGGRCTGTGCTTGGCTAGTACATCGGTATGTGGATAAGAGATTTGTCTGGGATCAGAAACATTCCTAGGTCTGCCAGCTCAGCTGTAGYTGCAGCTGACTTGAATTGTGCTGTTTTGCAGATGTGTTTCAGTATAAAGCCCAAACAGAGGTTAAATAGCTGATCCCAGTGGCAGTAATGTGGTGCAGTTCTCCTGACTGCAGTGGAACTGTGATGGTTTACACAAGCTGAAGATGTGCACTCAGACTCTCCTTTGGTGACTGAAAGCAGCAGGGAAGCACCTTGAGAAAGTTAAGGGTCACAGTAGAATATTTTATGCCAGAAAATACATGTTCACATCTGTTAACTGTTGGAAAGTAGTTTGCAGCCAGGATTCAATGTGCTGTTTAATCTGACTCATTGTTCTGTGTAATTACAGTTTGAAATCTCTAAAACTTACTGCATTTTGGAATGTCTTCCTTGGGGAAAATATACTAGTAATAATTTGTTGGGTCAGGTATCCATCTAGTTAGAGGAAGGACAAATGAATCAGTTTGTCCTTAGTGCCTGATGGATATCCTTGGATGTGTTTTGGTTCGCTGGACCATCTGTAGGTCCTGGATACCTGTAACAGAACATGTCTGCTACAGAGAATCTGCAGAAGTAGTTGCACATCATATACATCAGGGCTCGGGATCCTCCTTGCTTTGTAGGACTGGGATCTGTAAAGCTGCAGAGCAGAGATGGGATCCAGGGTTAATCAGACACCTCAGATAGGGAGGGCAGCCCACTGCAGCCTTTGAAATGGTCATGATACACCAAGCCTGAGTATAAACTTCTGATCMGGTGAAGACTGCTGTGTAGTCTTCCCAGGGAGCCTTTGGTAGGAARAGAACAAAAGATAGAGGTTTTTTAAATATCTGACAGAAAAAGCTCTCTCTCTCTTACCTGATCACTGTTGGGATCCTAATAGAGCCTTTCTTTTTCTGATTCCAAAGGAGTGGATATTCAGTGACCCTTTAATTAGACAGCAGGACAAGTGTCTTTCCATTACCTCCTTCTCCACTGGCTCTCAAATCACACTGGAAGCTTGCAATCAAAAAGACGGCAGACAGGTAGGTGACTGTGTGAGTTTCAAATGCCTTCATTGCCACGTACCAGTGTACCCACATCAGTGCAGCCAGCAGGGACACACCCAGTACTATCCCAGCACATGAAATTCCATTCCATCTCTGCATCTCCCTCTCTGCTGTGTTTCACAAGGTTGGATGTATGAAAGGGCATGTGACTGAGTAGGRAGTGCAGGATGTGTGTGTGTGCTCTGCCTGGCCCCTCGGCACTGTGGCTGGCTCCAGGTCAGCAGCACCCCAAGCTTCCTTCTTGGACAACTTTATGTGCAGCCAGACTGGTGCATGAATGGAGCACAGCACCAAACAGAGGKAGGGAAGGCAACTGCTTTGAGATACCTAAGGGAAGGGTGGTGTGTGCTATCATTGTTCATTTTTTTAAAAGTGAAAGAGCTGTGTTCTTTGTGTTGCCTTTGGACATCTGAGCAGACCTTTAAAACTTGAGTGCATGCAAGTCATTGAAGAAATGCTGACTGACATAAAGTTGTGTTCCACCTGAACTGCTCCCTAGAGGAAAAATACACAGCAGCAATGTTCCCAGCAAAATGCAGCTCTTTGACTTACACTGTTCCCAAGATGTGCATCCCTGATCTGTCAGGACAAATCAATCATTTTGCCTTACAGCACTAGGTAAGGAATGGCCTCTGCAATGGCCAGGGTGCCCTCAACAGAGACGTGATGTGCCTTTTTTATCAGGACTGGGAGAAGCACTAAAGAGAGCAGGGCAAGAGTGGCAGACAGCAGACTGGACTTGTTTCATTCCTAGTTCCTGTGCTTTCCTCTACACCAAGAGAGAACAAATTTTCTGTCATCCAAGTCTGTGCTGACTGCGCTTTCTGACCTGTCTGTTGCTTTGATAGCCCAAAGATAGAAGGTGGCTCAGCTTTAACCAGTTCTCAGCAGCATCTTCTTTTGTCAGTACCTTTTAATGCTATATGAATCCTTGAAATTAGCTGTTCCTGAAAGAATCCTGTCCATTTATGGAAAACCTGTGTAGACTTTCCTCTAGAGGGCTGGTTAATGCAGAAATGCCTTGAAGACTTGTCATCATGAATACGCTGGGAAAACTCTGAGTTTGGATTAGTCTGCAAGGATATCCCAGGTGGAATGTGCTTGCCTGCTCCTTTTTCATGTTGGCAATCACTCAGCCCCTTGCTGTGTAATTAGGTCACTCAGCTTCTCCTTGTGTGCCTTGCAGTATTTTCCTCCCTGGCAGCAGAGAAGACTCTAGCAGCTGCCAAAATCAGCTGTYTTGCCCTGCCTCCCCTGTCACGGAAGAATAAGGGTCCCTCAAGGAGGGTGGAGTCCAAGCTGTATCAGCCAGAAGAGAGATTAATCCACAGTAATACAAGCAGGCTCATTCTGCTGCTGGGATAGGATTTATTGAGCCTTGATGTGTTGATTATATACAGGCTCGTTATAAAGACATGCACACTCACTTAAGGTTGTGAGCTGTTGTTTTCCATTACCTTATGTGAGGAAACTGCACTTACATCAAGGACTTGACCTAGCAGATGATTTAACTGACTGACTCTAAGCAAGGATTTTGTTTAAGCATTTCAAATAATTAGAGACTGATTTGAATTGCAGCTGCCATTCCAAACTGCCTTGCAGCTGAAGGGATAAGGCGGGTGAAGTGGGAGAAATTAATTTGAATTTTAAATGTAATTTGAGTTGAAATGCTCTTAAATGTTGGGGTCTTTTTTGTAGTCCCAAACTCCCATTTCAGATTTCTACTTATAAAGCCAATTCTACTTGCAGTGCTGAAGTTTGTTGTGTTCCTGGGGAATGTTGTTATGGTTTTTTCATTCCATAAACACAACAGTAACTGTTGTTAACACTGACATTAGATTTTAATTAGCTAGAAGTCAGTCATCTTGCAAACTATTCCATTCTCTCTCCTCCTGATATTCGAGAGGTTGATTTCCAAGAAAGAACAAATTCCCTCAGTTGCCCTACAAATCTCCTGTCTCCCCATGGATACTYACAGCCCAAAATGCAAGTGCTGGGGGAGAGCAGTGTTTTCAAACAYGGGTGTATCCACTTCTCAGTTCAAGCAGTCCTCTCAGAAAATCAGAGGAGCTGAACTGCTTGGGAGAGCTGGAAATGACAAGCAAGAGCCCTGAGTAGGTGGTGTGAGTGGAGGAGGGTGAGCCTGTGCAGTGTGCATCTCACACAATATACTAAGAGGAGATGGCAGCATAAAGAAAGTCCAGCTTTGAACATCTTTCCTGTTATTGTCATCAGAGATCTGTGGTAAAAGATGTTTGGATTTTTCTGACTCTAGATTTCATGTCTGTGTCTGAGTCAGAAAAAGCAACATTTCTGACCAGAGATGGTACACATGATAGCTTTGGTTTTAGTGTCCCTGGGGTGGTTTGGTTAGATCCTCATGACAGCCCCACACAGCTCCTAAAGTTGGTTTTTGCTTTCAAACTTACTGAAGCTGTGCCTGTGSTACGCAGCTGTTCTGCATTAAGCATGTCCCAAGGACAGATTATTTTGTTGTTAATTTTGASTGCTAACAACAGTCCATCTATATATATAGGTTATACTCTAGCAGAGGCTTTAGWCTGTTATGAGTTGTGTTGAGATTATTACCTCAAAATAAGTCTAGAATTTTGCAGGCAGGGGGACATGAGACAATAGTCGCACTTTAGATGATTTTTGGTTCTGTCAGACTCCCTTGGGTTGAGASAACACAGAAATGAAATCTATTTGGCAACATGATCCTGTTGATCATTCAACAGCAACAGCTGGCAGTGCTAGCAGAAGACCAGCCAAAAGCTATTCTGCATAATCAGAACTAGATTTCAAACCAGATGGATGTTATCCATAATGTTATTTGGAGAATAGCGTTTTTAGTTGAATGCACAATAAATTTTTGCCTTCAGCTTTGTTTTTTGGCTGACTGACAGTAGGAGTGGTATTTTAATTTGTATTGTAGTGAGGACAAATAGAAGGCAAAGTGAGAGTCAGACACTTCAACAAGAGAATGAAAATGAGACACATTGGCACAGTATTTCCCAACAGAACAAGAAATGCTGAGWAATCCTATTAAACAGCTATATTTCATTAAAATGTTCTGAAGGAATGTGACCTCAGCTTGAAAATGAGGACACYGAGTGTTTTTTTGTGAGATAAACAGTATTTGAAATCCTTTGTCCTTTAGTATGYCATTGGGAAATTTTTCCCACTTTACTTCTCAGTGTATATTACCTGAAGTGAAGATGAATGCAACTTTATATAAAGTACCTGAAAAGAAAAGGAGTGAAAGCCTGTCTGTTTTGACAGCACCTGACTCAGCATATTCATGATAATAAATAGGTAAAACAATACTGGCAATATGCCGTACCTTGAAAGTAGTTTTAAGGAGACAAGAGTTTCAGTTGTGATTGAGTTTTACAAATTTAAGAGCTCAAAGGAGGACAGTACTTGCTGGATGCTGGTTTGAGCTTTTCCATCACACTCAGTCTCTGCACATAAACTTAAAATCTATTGTTCAAGACCAGCTTCAGGCTGCCCATGGCTCTGCAAATATTACAATATCCTTGGCTACTCCAGTTATCAGCCCTCCATACATTTCTGTTTGAAGCATCTCAGTCCTCATAAATAAAATTTGCCTTTCTCAGCTGTGCTTTCTGAGCTTGGCTAATTCCACTATTTCACGGTTAGGATTTTGAGATAAACTCTGGACTGCCTGGGTTCCTGCCTGGGTTACTGGTGCTTAAAAGAAAACTTTTGAATATCCTGAAGAATTAGACTAATGTAAATAATTTCAGCTCTTGTATATATTGGATAGAAGAGCACTGGCCAGTTTTGACTTTTCTCTTAGTAAATGCACATGGAGTGGTTCTATCCAGCCACCTAAAAGTACTTCGAAATGATAGATAAAAAAGTGGGAGAGATATTTACAAAAAAGTGTGGGAAATTTTGGGTTGACATTAGGGAAGAGGATCAGGACACAATATTTCAAAGAAAATACGGATTCTTTTTTTTCTTCCTCCATCTTCACTCCAAACCTATTCTGACCAGTAAACTGTATTATCTCCATCTGCACAAAAAAGGGAGACCAAAGAGGATTTTCAAGCCAAAAATTTTCACATTGTACAATGCCTGTATCTTTCAAAAGCTTTCCTTCCAAGTACAGGCCAGTCATAATATCTGGGTATAGGAAAAAGAGAAGCAAAGACTCCATGTAACATGTATGCAGAAAATGTCTGCTCTGCTTTTTTGGTTTGGTTTTTTTTTT